GATTTCCTGTTGAGTGATCCTCCATCCGAGGTAGGTCCAAGGTTGGGTGCGTTGAATTTTTTCTGGGGCAAGCTGCAGACCTGCTTTTTGGATGGCGTCAGTTAAGGCAGTCAAGGTGGATTGTAGTTCGGTCCCGTGTTTTGCTGCTATCAGGATGTCATCTGTATAATGATAGATGATGGCTGAAGGGTGGAGTTTTTGAACAGGGTGTATGATGTTGGCTACCACTGTTTGACAAATCATCGGGCTGTTTTTCATGCCCTGAGGCAGTACTGTCCAGTGGTATCTTTGCATGTTTGTATTTTGAGTGGATTTAGAGGTGTGTATTGTTGTATGTTGCAACTTTGTGGAGCATCTTTGGGCTTGTGTTGTATGAGAGTTTTGTTTGTTTTGCTTTCTCAAGGCTCTTGCTGTGACTGTGTATAAGGAGTTATGTGTTTCTGCAGTTGAAATTGTAACTGGTTGTTTGTTTACTACTTGTTTAAGTTTGGCTTTCCATGTTGTGTATGGCATATTGTCTAACAGCATTTTAAAATAGTGAGAAGTAAATACTTGATTTGGGGCCCCTCTTATTATTATTCTTACCCCCTGTAACACAAAAGAACTTTTTATAATAGCAGATAATCTGTCAATTAGTAAAGTTGTCCTTCTGTGACTTAGAAAATTAAACATGGTAGTTGATAGCTGTATGTCTGCTGTGCTTTGCAATGCTACCTCTAGGTTGTTGGTTCTGTCAGGAGGTGGATGGTGTTGTCCCAGCTGAAATTCTCGCAGTACAAAACCAACAGCTGTCATCGCCAGCAACGCAGTCAGTACACGTGCTGTCCACTTCAACGTCGGTAGCTTTGACTTTGCTGATGGTCTGGGCTTGGGTAGGCAGATGTTCTGTGTGCTTTCCCAGTCTGCATCTTCTTCCTCGAGCTGAAGTAGTAGCTGTAGCCATGTTTGCTGTTCTTCCTCTTTTGCAGGATTCAAAACCGCTTGTCTTTTTTCTGGTTCTCTTGTCTCGCTGAGTTCAGTTTGCCACAGCTCAGCTAAGCTTTCTAGGGAGTCAATATCTCTTCTTCCTCCTCCATCAGGCCATCTTCGGCATAGAAGCTGTTCTGAGGCTGGTGAGGGCTGTGGGTTGGTTTCTGGGTAGGAGAGCCACAGTGATGCTTTAACTGTTGTGCATTTGTTGTGAGTTGGTTGAACTGGTGGTGACAGAAGAGGCACTTTCACTTCCGCCTCACAGCCGGAGTAAGCTTGCTTGTGTCCATGTTGCTGCGTGGTTGTTCTGCAGGAGTCTCATGGCCGCTGCGCAGCCAAAGGGTGTTAGTGGACTGCCCTGGCTAAAGGGAGTTAACAGATTCTCTTCTGTGTCCTCTATAGACTCACCGTCTATTTGTCCATCATAGTCATCCTCCCCCCTTCCCGGCGAAACGCCTGAACCTGGGGGCGGCGGCTTCACTTCTGCCGCGCGGGAGGGGCAACACGGCGGTGCCTCCGGTGCCGCTCTCCTTCCGCACGCTGACTGTGCAACTGCCGTGTAACAGTCGCCCCGTGACGGTCCAGGGGTAGGCGCTGCTCTGTAACGGTCCCCGGCTCCAGCAGCACCGCTTGCTGCTCTGTATGGCACGGTCTCAGCTGCAGCCATGGGCGCTGGCATAAAGCCAGCATTCCCCCCCGCTGCCATGCTCACGCTGCCAGCCCCCAAGCCATGCTCCTCCACACCACACGCCGCCACTGCACCGTTCCCCCCAAGGGCTCCCCCTCCTCCCCATCCCCCCCAGCCAACATACATCCCCCCCCTGCCCCACTCGGTCGGTGGGGGAGCTGGGGCTGAAGGGGGGGGGGGGTTGAGGGGAAAGGAGTGAGGGGGGGGAAGTCCACTCTCCCGGGTGCATTTGCCTTTCTGTAGTGCTTATTCAAAGCTATCATAATGTCCTTCCATGTAGCTAAATTCTTGAGGGCATCTGTTTTTCCTTCACTGGCTTTTTCAATAATTTTGTTCCCTATTTTCCTCCAAGATGATACTTGATAAGGTCCAGTTAGAGGTAATGCAGGTTCATGCAACGAAATCCAATATAACAAGTCCCATAACTTACTTTCTTCTATGGTTATACTCTGTTCTTGTAAAAGTCGAGAGATAGCTTCAGCTGTTTGTTTGATTTTTGGAGTAATTCCCTCCTGATGGGTAAACCACCCTCCCATATTTGCCAATTTTTGGTTACCTCTGTGCTGAAGCTCTGTTGTCCTTTCTTCTGGTCCTTTTTTCTTCCTTTTTTGTTCCTTTTTGCAGAGGTAACCCAGCGTGCTGAATTCTTTCTTTTCTTCCTTTTGGTTTTGGCGATATGGACACCCCCGGACAGGTTCCCCAGAGCTGCTGCTCCTGGTTGCTGGTAACCTGCTGAAGTCCCTTATCGGACGGCCATTTGAGGTGCTGTTCAAGGCACGAACCCCACTCAGACACGAACAAGTGCCGGAGCAGAATTACTGTTTATTCAAACTGCCTAGGTTTAAATACCACGCCTGAACATGTCCCATGACCTTCTAACCAATGACAATCAAGTATTGTCTGAGAACCTGGGAGACCACAACTCCCATGGTTCCTTGTTACATTCTTCCTGCCACATCTAACTCTCTTCTTTACAGTGCACATATGCTCATTTGATGTTCGTCCGTGGGGGACAAACAATCCTCATGAGGTGGAGAGATAGACCAGTGCTGGGAACAGTGATTGCAAGGGACTGGTCTGTGATGAGTGCACTGGGGCCCCTTGAGCAGGGGGCCCAGAAAATAGGGTCACAGACCAGACTATTTTGGTCACTGTTGGTCCTTCAAGAGTATTCATGGAGGCCTGGCTGTGGAAGGGACAGGGCTGTGTGCCCCCATCCTGTACAGTCACCAACTTCAGCTCTTCAGTGGTGCTTTATGCAGCAGGAAACTTCCTGGAGGTTGTTCTTGGCAGCAACTTTGAAAACACTTGAACCTTCAGGCACTGCCTTGAGGAGATCCCCTTTCCTTTTGGAGCTCGGTTCTGTCCCAGCAGCGCCCATGACCTGTCCCTGCCTGCATTGCAGGAGTGACACACAGCAGAACTGTGACCAAGCTGGCAGAGCACTGTAACAGACAGATAACATACAAATGCCAAAAATTATGTTTTGCCATTGTTTCTGCCTGTCAAAAACTTCCTACCAAAACTTCTGTGTCAGTTTTCCACCAGAAGTTCTCACCAAGATTTTCCCACTGGAGTTTTCCTGCCAAAAGATCCTGGTATTGTTCATAGTTATCATATCTCTGTGAACATCTGAATAGGGCTACGTGCCAAGAAACCACACACAACCTCCTCGGAACACTATAAAAGATGAGGAAAAGTTTGGGAAGAGCAGGGAAAGAGGAGTGAGAAAGAGAGTTTGGCTATACCAGCTAAAAAATCTCTTCTCTGCCTCGCCCTCACCTTTTTTTTCTTCCGCTGCCGTAAAACTGCCTGCTGTCACCAGAGACGGGACCTCTGCCGTCTGGAAGTGGACCGAGACCCACCGTGCTACCCGGGTGAGTTTTTCTACCCTGACCATATTTCTGAGGGCCGAGAAGTGCATACCGAGATCTCCGCACGACCTGGGCTGCCCGGTGTGTGGGCAGGGAAGCCACATCCTGGCTGCATTCCAGAAGAACTAAGACCCCCTGCAGCTAAAGAGATAACATCTAAGGCAGCAAAGACCAGAGAAAAAAAAAGGCAAAAACTGCTTCTCTCCCTCTCCCCCCCACTCCACAGGCCAACTCAGATGAAAAGGTAGTTTTTTGGTGGTAATCTTTTTTCTCTGCTTCTAAAAATAATCTTAGCATTTTCTAACCTTTTCTTATTTTTTCCTCTTTCTCTTTGCATCTCTTAGCAATTAATAAAACAGTTTTGGTATCAACAGATAACTTGTACGAGTTTTTATTTTGCTCAAGGGAATATTCGAATATAAAAATTCTTTCTGCAACATTTTAGCAGATTGCAACAAGTACTCAGGCTTTACACCAGCAATCAGAGGTGGATCAGATCAGAGGGTGGAAGTTAAAGAGAGCAGCTCTGGAAGACCAAGTTCTGGTGCTTCCTGGAAGATCTACTGTTATAAGTGACCTAAAGAAATTTGCTGTTCAAAATGGGAAAGAGTTAATAAAGTTACTATAGTATGTTAACTGTCTTGTTAGAATCATAAGCTGACATGTTGTGAAATGCCTAACCACAAGTTCTGTAAGCTGCGGAATGATTAACACAACGCAAGAATGACTTAGCATGTTATATTTTTGGAGATGTTTGTTTCAAGCATACTAATAAGAACCAATATGGAGGGGCAGACCACGAGGAGTCCGGGTGATCAACTGTCATCCCGATGGAAATTTCCAGGACCACGGCCTCATAGAAACCAATAACTTTAAAACTATTGGTGGACACCCCTCAGCAACGGCGATTGCCCGCGAAAGGAGGAACCAACCGCATGTTGGCCCGCGAAGAGGGAACCAAGCAGGATGCAGCCCGCGAAACCTCCACCAATGGACCGATGACATGACTCTGGGGGGAGGTGACAACAGAGGGTATAACAAGTGCTGTTTCTGTTCCCCTTTTGCGGACTGTGGCAGGAACTGAGGTTTCGTCCAGTCGCCCGGCTGGCCGTTTTTGCTTGTTGGCATTAATAAATATTTTATTACCTTACCGCCTGGCTTCGCTCTCTTACTGCGCGTGCCTCGCCCACTTTTCTGGGGCCCCTCCCTCACATTTCGCGGCTCCCCCTCGTCGCTTTTTTGGCTCCCTGGGATTCCCCCACCCACCTTTTGGCATCCCCTTCTCACTTATTAGGGGTAACCCCCAATTTATGGATCGGAGGGCGGGGCGGGGAGTAAACGGGGTGCCCAAGAAGCGTTGTTTTTCATTTCACTTTTCATTTTATTGCCTTTTCAGTTTGCTCGCTTTTATTTTTTTTCTTTAATTTTCTTTCGAATTTTATATTCCCTTCTTTATTTCGTTTATTTTTTATTCTCTTTATTATTTTTCATTTTCTTTTCTTCTCTTTCGCGTTTGGTTTTTTATTTTTTTAGTTCTTAGTCTTCCAGAGAGGAAGAACACTGCAGCTCCTCTGGGACAGAGAAAGGCTCCCCTGCTCTTCCCTTAAACACAACGCCTGCAATGAGTGCCCTGGAAGCCCGCTCCGCTCATGCCAGGCACTGGGGCTCACCCAGAGGGGCTTTGCCAGCACCCAACGGAAATTAAAATTACAGCCTGGGCAGGAAATTAAAATTACAGGCCGGCAGGACCGCTCCTGGCCAAGGCCACCAGTCTGTGGAAGTCAGACCACTGACCACCCGGGGGGATTTTCGGGGGCATACTTCCAGCTTTTATTCTTCAGAAACTCCAGTTCTTTCTGGCACCGCTTGCTTCAGTCTTCCCCTGTTGGAGGAGGTCACTTAGTCTTTCTAGGGGCCAGACTGCCAAAGCCCGGCCAGTCCATTCCCACGAGGAAAGGTAGCTTTGTCTTATACAGGATACTGGGGGGGAGACACAAAATAAAAGTTTAATTTAAAACTTCCTGGAATAGAAAGCAATTCAAACATAAGGCAGACAAGACTTGTGCAAAACTGAATATGTTTGACTTCAAAGGAGAATTATTTCCCTCTGCACCTAACAGAATGTCATTTTCACCCAGGTCCTGCTTACCATCGTCAAACAAAACATGCTGACAAAATTTTTCATGATGACAGTGGAGAGATATTAGAGCACACTGCACAGGGAAGCTGAGGCTGCCCCATCCCCGTAAGTGTTCCAGGCCAGGCTGGATGGGACTTGGAGCAACCAGGGATAGTGGAAGGTGTCCCTGCCCACGGAAGACAGGGTGGCCTTTAAAGGTCCCCTTCAAACCAAATCACTCTATGATTCCCCTCCAAAATCACTACCAAAGAGACACAGCAATCAAAGCAGAGGGACTGCACTCCCAGCTTTTCTTACCTGCAGGCAAACAGCACGTTGGACATAAAAGCGACAGGGTTAGTCCTGCCAGAGGTGTCCGGCACACTCACGGCAACCGAAGGAAAAGAGGGAGCCTGGGAACACAGAGTAAAAGACACTTTAACTAGGAGTACACTGAGCAACAGCCAGGTCATTCCCACAGCTTCACTGTCCAGTCACACAAAAAGCACTCACCGAGGCCTCAGTTATGATGATTCCTGACGCTGACCAGGTGAATACCTCCATTTGCCCCAGGGTATCAAGAATAACATCCCTGGTAAGAAGTCACCCCGAACAACAAACAGGGAAAATTAGTTAAGCACGGGGTCCTCTTCTGACCAGATTACCACCAGCATTCAATAGCAAATGACATGACTATTCTGTTACAGATGAGAAAACCTTCTCCCAAACAGTGATGAGATTTATGGGCATGCCTGAAAATTTCCTGTGAGAAATTTGTAACTAAGCTTTCTCTGCTGGCACATTTTGTCCAGGAGGAATCTTGGTTCGTCTGGAATTTTGCCTAGGAGAAATCACAGTTTGAGCGCCGGGCTGCAAAAAGCAAACAACAGCCCTTATCCCTGGTAAAGAAAGCCTGCAAGGTTTGGCTTTCTGGTGCAGTTGGGCCAGCCTGGGCACTCCATGGGCAGCAAGAGCTTGTCTGACTTTGGAAGTTTTAGAGCAAAGGTCCCTGGTGGGCACTGCTGGCCTCCAGGGATGGGTGCTCCAACACTGAACTACACCTGAGTTTATTTTAAACTATAACTGAATAATTAATTTCAATTCCCTGCTCTTCCATAAGCCTCCCTGGAGGACTATGGTCATGTTTTTGTCTGTCAATTCAGTTCTTCTCTGTATAAACCAGGCAATAAAGCCTCCCAGGCCTTGAAGAGTGTTGCAAGCATAAAAACACCAACAATTATAATGGATCAGTGAAATAATACAGTTGTGAAAAGGTCATGGAGAAAGCCAAGGCCAACTTTTGTCTGTCTTATTTAAATGAGAAGAGTGGAGCAGGGTGGCTCCTCCCAGGAAATGTTGCACTCCTCGTGCATAAGGTTACTGCTTAAAGCAGATAAAAAAGGCAGAGAAGAAGAAATCAAAACACCAAGTATAGGAACAGGGACAGTAACACTGTATTTCACACACCATGGTGTTTATAACGCTGGCTATTCATTACAACCTGAGACCACCTTTCACTTGGCTGAGAAGTTAAGCATTAGTCCACTACCTGACGAACTCGGACTTCATTTGGGAGAGCACTAAACAGTTGCTTTAAGTAAAACAGCCCAGAAATGTTCTCAGAGCAGCTGACTACCTGTGTACCTCCCGCTGGACAGGAGAGGGAGCTAAAAGGAACGAATTCCATCCTGAGAAGCCCGGGATGGGAAAGGCAGCCTCAGAGGCTGTAGTCTCACAGCGCTGCCCTTAAAGGCCGGCCGGCAGTTCCCATGGGAGCAGGAGGTCCCTGCAGAGCAGCTCCCTGCCACAGCCGGTTTTAATGCTTAGGAATAATCAGCCAGCACCTTGAGTGAGAAAATGTATTCTTTTTTCCTCAGAAGTTGTATTATTTTAGCAGAGGTGTAATTTTTTCTGAAGATACTTCAAAAATATCCCTACTAGTGCTAAATGCATTCCCTCTCCCAACAGTTTCACTTCATGAGAAATTTCCAGGTGCCTCTGTTTTTGTGCCAGTTCAAAAAAAAATCCATTTGAAATTGATGAAACACTCCTTGCATTTCTAGTTCCAGATAGGTTTGGCCTTTTGACCTCAAGAGATCTCCATTTGTCCCCATCAGCTGCCCTCAACCTCCGTAAGCACTGGTGAACTCTTTGGCATCTTGCCCTAAATCCAAGCTTCAACCCATCTATCTTGGACCAGCTGGATTCATAAACTACAAATAAGTACATTAACAAGGTCAACAGATACGGAGTGACCCTGAATGTTCCCAGTTTACCACAATCCTTATGGCTGACCAAACAGGACAGATTTAAGCCTGCTTGGCAGCCTCCTAGGACCAGCCTAAGGTCACGAATCAAAGGGCAGGCCATTATTTTTAACTGTCTCTGATTCTGAAATGGTTTCACTTTGGTTGTTAAACTTCTGTTATTGTTGGGCTTGGTAGCAGCACATGAAGCACCGCATGCTTTTGTTGAAGGACTAGTGAAATAAGGACCATCAGCTGTCATCACTCTTGTATTACAACATCTGCCTCTTCTAGAATCACCTATAGCATTAGTGTCTGTTATGGGAGCCTATAGGCAGGTATTTAAATTATTACATTTAATAATTTAAGTGGGGTTACAACCATGCATCTTCAATACCCAGCAATGCAAAGAGAGCTCATGAAACAAAATACCAAGAGAGCAGGGTCCTTCTGTTGGGAGGGATGGGTTAAAAGCAGAAGAACAGTGAGCAAGATGGTACATTCACTCAAGTGACCTTGCATCTGGGAATGCCGAGGCCTGCAGAGTAGTAGTAGTGTGGGAAACTGTAGCGGCGACCCTTGTATAACAAGGAATGAATGATGCTCCTCGTGCGGTGTTGTGGACAAAGAGGTTTAATTCAAACTCGCGCGCCCTTTTATCCTTACAGATCATGTGACTTTCTTAACCAACCAGTTTACTAACTCTGGGGCATGCTCCTTGGGCTCTGTACCTGGGCACATCCTCTGTGCCTCTCAGACACGCCCCTACACATCCCCTCTTTTAATTATATTAAGAAGTCACAAAAACAGTATGAACAAAAATGCAAACAACAATGCAAACAACAATTTTAACAATCAGAACATTATAAAACTACTAAGCTTCGCAGTGATCCAGCACATTGCTTTGCTCAGTTTCTTAACTCTAATGTAAACTTTTTAAAACTTTCTTATATTCCTATAGGGTAGTGCAACTTGGATAATTACTTTATTAACTTGGGGCTTATCTTAACTGTGTATAAACTTATAACTTTTTTTTATCTGAGGGTTTTTTAATAACTGGGGATTTCAAACTTTATTTAAGAACAGGGTAATCTTAGCAAACTACAATTCCTTAAAAGTGACCTGTGGCTGAGGTAATGTTATTTGTAAGGTGTTTGTTTATTATTTGACCAATCACACAACTATTTTCATTCATTCACTCATATCATACGTCAGTGGCCACCGCACTCTGAACACACACACGAACACACACACACATTCCAGAGACTGCTTTTCACCACGTTGGTCATTTCTTAATGTAAACTTGAAAACATAACATAACTCTTTTCCAAACTTCTGCGTTGCTCTGGTTCCTGCTGCTGTGGTTACATATTTGAATAGGGTTTTACACACCTGGAAGAAACCTGCTTGAGTTCTTTCTTATAACTTTTAGGCATAGCTTTCTCTCCATGTCACAAACCTAGGAATCTCATCCATCGTCCTGAAATCAAATCTTACTGTGATTAGCAACTTGGGAGAAACAAACGCCTGAGGTGTGTGCTGCTTTTCAGACCTGCTTCTTTCAGCACTGTCACAACTCAAAATTGATAACATACATAGCTTTATACAGATGTTTTTGCAGGTTACACCAGTTCTCCCCCCTTTTGTTTAAACTTAGCACGTGTTTCAATATGTGTTTTTACTGTTTTATGGATTAGTGTGAAATGTTTGACGTGAGAATTTTCCTATTTCATAGGAAGTAACTGCTTAATATTAATGTTAATCTATTTTAGTGTACCAAAGGTTTGCTAAGCAAGTAACTCATGTGTTTTACACTTTTGTGTTTTTTCTAGTGGATGTAGTAGCAGTTATGTTTTGTGAATGTATGTCTATTTGCATGTACAATTTCAATATGTTCAATCCAAGATGTATATCTCTGATCGCCAAGCCTCATTTACTATTAACTCTCTAGGGTGGTTTCCTGACAGTGTGGCATACCTTGATGATGTAGCTTTATTGATTGTTATTTTGAATGGTCTCTTAGAGAACCTGTATTCTGATGGAGAATGAATGAGGCAATTGCTTGCCTTAAAACTCTGGGTGTAGTGTTAAACATTGCTGCTTTAGCAGCTTTTCAGTTTCTGTCAGTCATTGGCTGTGGCAGGTCAGGATGTGATTTTGTGTGCATTTGTATAGAAATCATACCTTTTGTAACTCACAGGAACCAACCAGAATGCATTTCAAAAAACAGGTAAGGGTTAACAATATCTCAAGGAAATTCACTTTCAAAACAGGTTATCAACTTCATAGCATAACAAGTACAATCATAACATCAAAGGATTGTTTTAAAATTTTCCTAAGGTAATGACAATCAGTCCAGAACTATACAGAAGCTTAGTTCACGGCTTGTAGTTTTCTTACTGTTCCGTGGCAGGATTTATTTAAGTCTGTTGCAGCATATTGTTTTTTCCTAGATGCATGTGTGAAGGCCCTGAGGCCTTTCATTGGTTCAGTTTGCATCTGGTGTGGTTTGTAAAGGTAAACTGTTGATTTCTGCTACAATCTGTGCTTAAGGAGATGGATTAAAATATTACCACTAAAACTTGCCAGGGCATCTTGAAATCCAGCGTCCTCAGCTGCTATCCTATCCAAATTGTCCTTTCAAAGCTGGAATGTTGGTAAAGGCAGGATTTCTTCCGTCCAGTTCCTCAGTCATGCTCTGCCCTAAATGACAAGCTTACAAACTCAATAGCAACTTACACAGATTTAGGTGGTGAGGTATGACAGAAAAAGCTCTTTTAGAACCAACAGCGGGCTTCTCTCAATTTGATCCCACCGAAACAAAGCTGCAATGCTTCATACCTGCTGGAAACAAAAACTAGGCAGATTTGCCTGTCAGCATCTCTCCTGTTTTGTTTGTTTTTCATTACCTTGGTATAATTTTCTAACATCTGGTTTGCCTCTGCAGTTAGCAATTCGTCAGACTTTAAGTTGGAGTTCTCCCCTAGCAACACAAAGAGAGGGGAACTGGTAGCCCTCTGAGGTTCCTGCAACTTGTGTAAATACAAATGTTTTTTACCTCGAGCTGTGTCACCTGTGTAGAGCCTTTTTGCTGTGTTGTCTTGTCCATGGCAAGTCCAGAGTTGTGGTTGTTGGATTTTTCCTGAAACAACTTGAAGATCTGCACCTTGGGCAGTTTTGGTTAAAACAGCAGAAACAATTAGCAGTTCATTTCTTGTGGTCTTGGTTATTAATGTGTCCTCTGCATAATGGTGTATTATGGCTGTTTGATACTTTATCGAGGTATTTTGCATCCCTTGAGGAAATGCAGCCCAGCAGTGAGTTTGGATAGTCTGTGCACTGCTTAAAACCATGATGGAAAAGAGGGGTTTTTGGGCATCCTCAGGGTGACGGAGAATGGTAAAGGAATGGTTTTTTGAATCAGTTACCACTCGTGACCAAATTTGCTAGAAACCTTTATAGGTAGAGGCAGTCCGATCTGCAAGGTTTCTGCATGTTTTTTGACTGCGTGTTCTGCTGTCAACATCTGTAATGTTTTCCACCTGTCACCTTTCTTTGGGGTACAGGGTACATGGTTATTTTGGGGGCTGGTTATTGGTATATTGTGGCTTGCCTTAAGTAGTTTTCTCTTTTGCACATGAAAAGTGGTGCTAAAAAAGAGTACAGCTAGCAATGCTATTACAAGCAATACAATGCTTGCAGCATATCTTTTGTTTTGTGTATGACACCCTTGGTACAACTGAGTCATTTCTCTGCTGTTAGGGTGTTTGTGGAATGTTGCAATTAGGGGTTTCCATGGGCAATCTTCCTGAGAGTGATTCAATTCTCCACAACTAAAACAACTAGCTGTGTGTCTGACTTCCCTGTGTATTCTTATTTGGGCATCTAAAGCTGCAGCTAGAGAGGCAGGTAGCTGTTTCTCAGAGCTAGCCTTTTGGTAGGGTTGCACCAGCTCAGTAAAGTCACAGTTCTCCTTTGCAGGAGGGCTCTGCAAAGCTTTTGCATTTTCTCTTTCAAAAGCCAAATGCTTGTACAGCATCTCTCTGGCTTCATTGTATTCAATTTGCTTGTTTAAAGTCGACTGCAGCTGGTCCAAACATCTCAAATTTAACTCAGTATAAACCTTGTAACTCTTCACTGTTGGACAGATAGTCAATTGGATCAGCAGTGAAAATGTTTTCCATAGCTTTTAGGACTTGCCTGGCTATCTCTTTATGGTATTTTGATTGTGAATCTAAATTATAACTTGCTTTCCCGCTTGACTGATGTGCCGTGGTGTCTGCCTGTAGGTATTTAATATGAACAGAGCAATTTTTCTGGAATTCAGCTAACCAGACTGTATATTGGGTGTCACTGAGAACTAGTTTTATCCGTTCTTTCCAGTCATATGTAGTGAGTGGGTAGATGTAACTCAATGCCTCCAAATATTTAAAAATATTGGTTAAGGACAGACCAGAACCTCTTATCAAATGCCTCAGGTCCTCTGTGGCCTCATACAAGGCCTGACTCTGAGGGGGCTGGCTTTGGTTCATATCGTCTGGGCATGCCTTATTAATATTCAGGTTTCCCCTTCGAATTACCTTGTCCAGACATTGTTCCCACCTGTTAGCTGACTTCTCCCCCTGTGCCCTATTGATCTCTCCCGTTGGAACCATGTTTGGCTCTTTCTCCCCCTCCTTCTCCCCCTCCCCCCATTCCTCCCATTCTTCCCATCCCTCCCCCCTTGTGGTCTCGGCAAAACCGGTTCCCTGTGGGGGGATGGTGGGCGGTGCAGGGGGCGAGTGGGGGGCGGGGCTGGCTCCTCGGCTGGAAAAGAAAGTTTGGAGTTCAGTCTGTGTGGGGGGGGAAAATGGCTGCGGCCATGGCTGTCCACGTGGTCGCTGTTCATTTGCAGCGAAAGGGGATGAATACACTAAATTATTCTCCCCATCACTGTAACAGGACTGCCTTGTGTGGACCCGGGGGTCAGAAGTTTGCATGGCAATGTCTGTCCCTTCCCAGCGACTCGTTTTACGTGGCTCTCGTGTCTCCCGGTATGATCCCTGAGTTTGTATTACCATGTTGTGCTGTGTTTGCTAACAGCAGTGCGTGCGGGGGGTTGGTGTGGTGTGGGCTGTTTTGTTCTTCCTTGTGTGGTAGGGAAGGTTTGTGTGCCTCGTGCAGGCAGAGTTTATCAGAGTAAACTGCTTTATGTTGCAAGGTTTAGCAAAACGCTACAGTCTGAGTTTTGCTTCAATGTATCATGAAGGTTTCTATGGAAACAGGGTGTCTTATGTTACCTTATCTCGAGCGGTTGGGAGCACACGTTTTGAGTCCTTTTGTAGCAGTTTTGGGCTAACTTGCAGTCTTTTTTCTGCGGCTTTGGGAGGTCCGGGCTGTGTCGGCTGCAGCGCGGGGGGTGCACTGCGCTGTGCTGCTCCGGCTGCGGCGCGGCGCGTGGCTGGGGCAGCTGTGGCGTGGGGCAGCTCCCGGCGTAGGGGCAGGCTCAGCAGATGCTGGTTCGGCGATGGCAGGCCGTGGGGTTCCGGCGCTGGTGGCTGGTGTCCCGGTGCAGGCTGCAAGCTGCGGGCTCGGGACAGCGGCGGCGGCAGGGCGGGGCAGGACCCGCGCGGGTGGCTCCGGCAGCGTGCTCGGTTCGGACACGGGGCTGTCTCCGGCGAGCGCGGCGGGCGCCGCGTGGCGCGGGGCCGGCGGGCGGTCCTAGCGCCGGGCTGGCGGCAAAAAGCGGCGAAAAGTTCTTTTGGGGTTTCCGCGGTTTCTGAAAGGTTTTTCCTCAGCTTGGAGGGTCTACACTGTCGTCACAGACAGGCAGGGGTCGGCAGGAGGTGGCCAGTCTCCTCCGGTGCGCAAGACGGGGCAGGGGGCGGCCAGCACACATGCTTGGCTCGGCCGTTTCCCCGGTACTTTCAAACTACGGTTTTAGTAGTTGCTAGGCAACAGGCACTAGGTACCGGGCCGGCGGTGCAGCGGGCACGGAGCTCTGCGCTTTCCGCTAGGCAGAAAGGCGATGCGGGGGTCGTGCGGTGGGGCTGGGATGGTACGGGCGGCAGCGAAACCGCTTCTCGCACGTGGTCCTGAGTAGTCGGCAGCGGGATGCCGCTTTTACCAGACGACCGACATTGGGGGACCAACAGGCTTTTCCCTGACGATCTTAAGGTGCTCCGCGGCTCGGGTCTCCGAGCTGCAGGCACGACTCGCCCAGGGAACAGTCTTAGGCGTGCGGAATGCTTTTTAGCTACACTCACCGCTTTTGATGTTGCATTGGACCCTCTCTGCTCTCTCCGGTTGCCTGCTCTGACCTCTCGGCTTCTTCCTTAACTCTTCTCTTCTTCCGTGCACTTTCCTAATATTTTTCGAGCTCGCTAAACTAACTGTCCGTCTCTTAGATGCCACTAAGACCACGGGGTTTACTGACGTCAAAGTTTTTTGTGGTCAAAGATTCCCAAGTCAAACTAATAGACCTGATAACCGGAAACTACCACTTATATACCTGATTCAGGGTAGATCTCTCGCTTAATATAAGCTAAATATGTCTCGTTCGAGCGCCATATGTAGCGGCGACCCTTGTATAACAAGGAATGAATGATGCTCCTCGTGCGGTGTTGTGGACAAAGAGGTTTAATTCAAACTCGCGCGCCCTTTTATCCTTACAGATCATGTGACTTTCTTAACCAACCAGTTTACTAACTCTGGGGCATGCTCCTTGGGCTCTGTACCTGGGCACATCCTCTGTGCCTCTCAGACACGCCCCTACAGGAAACCCCATATATTATGCCTGATGCTGTTTATCCTCTGTTTTGAGAAGTAGAATTGCTGTGTAGAGATAACATAGATGTTTGGAGAGACCTGGAAGCCCTTTCACAGATATGCTTGAGCTCCCTGTTTTGGGAGAGAGAAGATCAAAGCTCAGAGGTCATGAAAAAGCAGAGAGGAGATCATAGTGTGGTGGTGAACTACACTGTCCAGGATGGACTAAGCCTAACGGTGCCTGATCTCTGAGCTTACACTCAACAAAACCTACTGTCCACTTACCTGTCACAGCCTCAGTGCTGACCCTCTTGCTCTGCTGTTCTCCCTTCTCTGCCCAGATGTAAATGATGTACTCCGTGCCTGGCTCCAGTCCTGCCAAGGGAGTGACGTTCTTGTCTTTCTCCACCTCTGTCTCCTCTGTGTCCCCATTAGCCGAGGTGTAGCTCAGTCTGTATCTGTCTATTGACAGGAAACAGTAATTGTGTCCAGGAAACAGTAATTGTGTCCTCTGTCACTTGGTCAGACAACAGTTCAGTTGGGTTGTCGATTTCTGCAAGCAAAAGTCACAATTATTAGAAGTTTTAGTATAGTGCTGTGGTAATCACAGTGGCCCAAAGACACAGAAAACACAGGTTTTATAGACAGAGGTAGTGTGTTTTATTAGACTATCAAATACATTTGGGAAAACAAATGAGCTTTGAGAAGTGATTCTATGTCTAAAGACCTAAAAAGGGCCTGTGTATCCAAAAGCTTGCTCATTTTTTTTCTCCAGCCCAAACTGGTAAATCTTAAAGTTTTATCTTTAGCTATAAACTGTGTTTTGATCATGCACTGTAAATAACCAGTACTTAAGCAAGTCACCATTGGATATCACCATTCATGGAGCCAAATCATTTTGTTCTGCTGGATACAGTGCAAGGAAGATAAAACAAGCTAACTGCTTCCATGTCCTGCCATTCCTGGCACACTGGTAACCACATCTGCATGTCAGTGCATTGGCACGGTCAGTCATCCCTTTGCCCTGCACTGGGTGAGCTGGGCTGCTGGTTTCTGTTGGGAGTGAAGAACACGAGTGTCCCAGTGAGGCTACTCTTACTCTTTCCTCTCAAGGGGCCTGCTGACTTCTTCCACCTCTCACCCTTTTTTTCTTACCAAGCTGGGAGGTGCCCAATTCTGAAGCATTTCAGCTGGGGTCTAGGTCTCCTTCTCCCAGCTAGAAGAGCAGAGCTCTTTGCTGGGGATCAACAAAAGCACAGCCAACCTTGCCTGGGCAGAGAGAGAGCCCAGGCAGAATATGTTGTTACTGTCTTTTGCTTCCTGAAGATCACCACCTCTTGCCTGTGTTGTTCTGGAAATTAACCCAAAAAATAACAAATCACCTGCTCACAATCTGTGAAATGCAGCTCTCCTGAAACAAGATCATTTCACTTTCAGTCTCCTCCCACTATTACAATCATTCCCTTGCCCTGTTCACAGATGGAAACACATTACTAGATTGCAAGAGCATCAAGTTCTTATCCCAACACAGCCTGCAGGAATGTGGCCCTTTGAGGGCAGCCCTACAGCCCCACAACCTTACACAGAATATTGTTTCTCTTTGGCTTTTTTTTCCTTTGCTGAACTGCTAAATATATCTTGGCAGCCTGACCAATAAAGGACTTGCAGATGCCTCTCAAATTATTGGAGCAGCATTTCTTATTCTGCTGGAGGCTTTAAGCTCCAGGGCACAAATGCACAACCATCTGACAGCCACATGGTAATTTACCACACACCAGCTTAGCTGCACAGTGATTTAGTACACGTTAGCTATGGTAAAAGTTGTGATTTTCCACCTGTGTGTACTAATCTCACCTCTTTTGTGAGACAAAAACACATTACTTTTCATTTTCATGAAAGATACTGAGGCTTGTTTGTGCCACCCCAGAGTAGCACAAGGTGGGAGCTGGGAATTTGAATAATCACAGCTCAACTCCTTAGCAGTATGAGATGCTCACCTGTGGCCAGAAAAAATTAAGCGAATGATTTTCTTGTGTGATATGAAAATCAAGTTTGTTCTTTAGTTCTAATTGCACTGCAGCTGGGTATGGGCTGTGCTACTCCTCGTGTGCAGTGCTTTTAACTCCTTAACTCCCTGGTGGTCCAGGAGCTTCCCAGCCAGTCACCTGTACCAGTGAGAACATGGACTGGCTGAAGTAAGGGATTGACTGATCCCCTCATATTGGACTTCAAACAGTCCTACAAATTCCCTGAGGCAGCTCCTGTTGTGTCTAGTCCAATCTATATGTTTAAATGTGTTAGTTAACATCCTGAGTGGAGCATCCCAAGCACTTCCCTAGGTAATTTGGTGTAGAAGTACAGATTGTACATAGAGAAGACGTTGGTAAACAGCCAGTGGAACCTGCTCCTGTACACACAGCCACACACAGCTGGCTGGATTGGACAAACTGATCAAGACAGCGGTTCAGGGAGTTTCCCAACCCAGCTGCAGATGCTGCTGCAAGCACCCTTCCAATGGAGACTAGGACAGCGACCAAATCCACTCTTTGTGAGATTTGATACCCTCCATAATTCTTAACTTATGCCATGATCCAAATAAATCTGGTTTTCCATTTTAACAAACGCTCTGATTATATGTGCAAAATGTGTGAGCCCCCTGTTCTGTTGGGAAAGGCCACAACAGTCACCCAAAGAAAAGCTTGGAAATGATTTATGGCATTTTAAAGGCAAGGCATGAACTACACATTCCAATTGGTTATGAGGTTTTAGTTTTGGCTGGATTTCACTGTTCTCTGTACTGATAGTAACCGATCCCTTGCCATAACGTCTGTCCACAACAGGACTCAGAGTCTTAATCTGAGCTGGAGACCTGTTCAGCCTCACTAGT